TGAGTTGTAGTTGACTCAACAGCACATAACAACATTTGAAACCATGGTATTTTGCCTCATCAAGAAATTAAGGAGCTGAACAGAAAATTTCAAAGGGCACCTCAGGAAGACAAAGCAAGATATAATGAAATGTGCAAAGTGCTGGAGTCAGAAAATCAAAAGGACCAAACTCACTCAGCATTTCTTAAGCTGAAGGAACCGAAGAACAAATCCAAGCCTTTAACTGCAGTACTTAAGGATACTTTGAGCAGAACATGAAATGATCCAGGAAGCATTAAAAGAAGATGGAAGGAATATAGAGTCACTGTACCAGAAGGAATTGTCTGACACAGAAGAATTTCATAAAACAACGTATGAGCAAGAGCCTGTGGTGATGAGGGAAGAAGTCCAAGTGCTCTGAAAGAATTGACAAAAAAACAGGGCCCCAGGAATTGATGGCATACCAATTGACATAACAAACAGGCACTGCCCTGCATGTGCTCACTAAGTTGTGCCAAGAAATCTGGAGGACAGCCATCTGGCCAACTGACTGGAAGAAATCGATACTTGTTCCTAAAGAAAGGTGACCCAATAGAGTGTGGAAATTATCAAACAATATCATTAATATCATATGCAAGCAAGATTCTGCTAAAGATTGTCTAAAAACGGCTGGAGCAACACATCAAAAGAGAACTGCCTGATGTGCAGGTTGGGTTTATAAGAGGTCATGTATTAGGGATATTATAGCTAACGGAAGATGGATCTGGGCTGAAAGTAAAGATTAACAGGAATGTCTGTCTGGGTTTCAGGTGTTTGACTCTGTGGATCGCAACAAATTGTGGCTGACTCTGAGAAGAATGGGAATCCCAGAACACCTGACTGGGCTTGTGAAACCTATACTTGGACCAAGAGGCAGTTGTTAGAACACAGCAAGGAGACACTGCATGGTTCAAAATTGGAGAGGGGTCTGCAAGGGATGTATTCTGTCTCCATACCTTTTCAATCTATATGCAGAACAGATCATCCAAGATGCTGGGCTAAATGAAGAGGAATGTGGCATCAGGATTGGAAGGAGATTCATCAACAATCTGCATTATGCAGATGATACAACCCTGCTTGCTGAAACTGAGGAGGACTTGAAGCTCTTGCTGCAGAAGATCAAGCAATGTAGCCTTCAATATGGATTGAAGCTCAACATGAAGAAAACCACTGGGCCAATTGGCAGTATGATTATGGATGGTGAAGATATTTATATTGCTAACAGTGTTGGTTTGCTTGGCTCCACAATCAACATTCTTTTTACCAGCAGCCAGGAATTCAAGAGACGAATTGCCTTGGGAAAGTTAGCTGTCAGGGACCTCTCCAGAGTAATGAAAAGCAACAATGTCAGTCTGAAGACTAAGTTGTGCCTGATCCAGGCCATAGTCTTTGCACTTGTTTGCTATACATCAGAGAGCTGGACAATGACTAGGGAGGATAGAAAGAGAATTGATGCCTTTGAGCTGTGGTGCTGGAGAAGAGTGTTGAATATACCATGGACTGCTAGGAGGACAAACAGATTCATCCTGGAGAGGGTTAAACCATACTTCTCCTTGGAGGCAAGGATTCTGAAGCTTATACTTTGGACAGGATACAGGGAGGGACTGGTCCTTGGAGAGGGACAGCATGTTTAGGAGGGTGGAGGGACAGTGGAAGAGAGGAAGACCCTCGATGAGACGGATTGATTCAGTCACTGGGGTAATGGTGGTAGGTATGTCAGAGACAATAAGGTTGGTACAGGATAGAGCAGGTTTTAGGGCTTTTGAACATAGGGTTGTTATGAGTCGCACACAACTCAACGACACAAGAACAACAACAACACATATTTGTGAAACTTCAACATTAAATAAAGAATGATGCCTTTGAGTAATGGAACTGGCAAAGAATATGGAGTATAGCGTGGATTTCCAGAAGAACAATCAAATTTGTCCTGGAAAAAGTGTAGCTAGAGTGCGAGCTAAGACAGGAGGATGGAGAGACAAAATCTTACCTCTGCTCTGGACATGGTATCAGCGCCAATCCCTGGAGAAAGAAATCTTGCTTGGTCAGACAGAGGATCAGCAAAAAAGACATGGATTGAAACAGCAGCTATAACAGCAGGATGAAACGGGATTGTGAGGATGGCTCAGGACTGGATTGTGTTTCGTTCTGTTAGGCATTGAATCACTTTGAGTTAGAACCAGCCTGATGGCACCTAACCATAACAGTGTCAAGGGAATGTCTTGTGCCAATCAGCTTAAACCAACTGGATAGATAGCTATTAAGGAACCAATCACTAATGTTAACTAAAAGCACACAATAGCTGTCATTACAGCCTGTTAATGCAATTTACTTCCTATGAGAAAGGAAAACCCATTACACTTAACCTGAGTCTTCACTAATAAGATCTCCCATTCACATGGACAAAATGGCTTTTGCCAGTATTATTGTTGTAAGCAAAAGACCTTAGTTAAAGGTGTAGACAAAAACATGAATGCAAAATTTTAATTTGCGGAAAAATTTTTTTATCACCAAGTTTCTTTGACATATGTCTGCCACCTAGTATAGAGATCTTTGATAATTATCACACTAATTCAGAGAAGCCACTTCTGGTAAAGCAGCTGGTTAAAATCCACCTATGTTTTCCAAGGAACTCATACAATAATATTCAAAGTGGGTGACCCTGGAGGACATTACGCTGAGTGAAATATCTCAGTCACAAAGGGACAAATACTGCATGGTGCCACTGTTGTAGAATGGGTCTGACATCAGGGTGGGGGTATGGCAGAAAAAACTGGATAAATTATGTATATTGTATTGAAACAGATGAGGGAAAGAACAGATTAGAAGTTATATATGATTATTATGGTTAGCACAGGAATCCAGAATTAAGGTTGCACAGAGAAGTATACTCGGGGTGGGGGGTGGGGGGAAGGGATGTGGGAATTGTATACTAATGAAGAAATTTTTTTCTTTTTTTTTCTCTCTTCGGAGGGGGAAGCGAGCTGGTGGGGAGGGGTGGGAAGTGAGAAAATTGTGGCAATGAATGAATGGAAATCCAAAACCTCTGTAAAAAAAAAATTATAAAAAAAATCCACCTATGTTTTCAGAGCTGTGTAACAGAGCTGTGTAGATATTTACAGGCCTTACTAATTACTTTGCTCTTGATCATTTAGGGAGCTCTGGTGGCCTAATGGTAAGAAGCTGTGCTGCAATCCCGAAGTCATGCAGTTTGATGCCACCAGCTGCTCCTTGGAAGAAAGATGGGCAACCTCCTCCCATGTGATTAACTGCCTCTGAAAACCTGCCAGAATATGGGTTGGCTCTGACTTGAAGGAATACAACAACTTGGTCATTTATTTTGCACACAAATCCATGATTAATTTAATCTTGATAAGAGGGTAATTTACATCTCTAGGATTGGACCAATGACCAAAATATGTTTGATCTTGGTAAAATGGTAAAAAAAAATCATGCACCCTGTCTTCAGTTTGTCTTATTTCCTACTAATAATGTGAATTTAGGTTCCTAAACAATGCTTCATCTTTTTCTTTAACTCTTCAGATCTATTTTAGTTGTTTGTTGCCATTGAGTCAATCCCAACTCGTGGCAATCTCATGTATTCAAAGGACATCATTGAGACTGCACTGAATCTGCAGACTGCTTTTGGGAGGATTGTCATTTTCACACTTTCCTATCCATAAATAGGGAATATATTTCCATTCAGATAAGTCTCTTATTGTTTTCTGTAGTAGTGTTTTGCAGTATTCTTTATAAAAGTCTTTTGTGTGTTTAGTTAGGTTTAAGTAATTTATCTTATGGTTGGCTATTGTAAATGGTATTGCTTTTCTAGTTTCCTCTGCTTTCTTTGGTGCTGTACAGAAATCCACCTGATTTGTGTATGTTGATCTTGTAACCTTTCACTCTACAAAGATTCTCACCACTGGGCCGATTGGCGGCACCATGATAAAGGTTGTTAACAGTTACAGCTTGCTCAGCTCCATAATCAACACTGTTGGCACCAGCAGGCAGTAGAACAAGGGAAAATTGCATTAGGTAAAACTGCTGTCAGAGAAGTAACGATGTCAGTCTAGAGACTAAGGTATGCCTAAACCAGTCTTCACAATTACTTGCTATGCATCAGAGAGCTGGATAATGACTGAGGATGATGGAAGAACTGATGCCTTTAAGTTGTGGTTCTGAAGAAGAGTCTTGAACATACCATGGACCACCAAGATACCAAACAGGTCTGTCTTGGTGAGGGTGAAACCAAGTTTCTCCTTGGAGGCGAGGATTTTGAAGCTCCATCTCACATACTTTGGGCATGTGGCCAGGAGGGACCAATCCTTGGAGAAGGACATGATGCTCAGAAGGGTGGGGGGACAGTGCAGGAGATGAAGAACTTGGATGAGACAGATAGATACAGTAAATAGAGCAATGGGCAAGCCTTATAGGGTTTTTAAGGCCTTCAGAAACAGGTCCAAGGCTTGTCTCTTGTCAGATCTCAGGAGAGGTCAAATCTACACTAAAAATCAGGAAACCATTGCATGATGCTTTACCAGTGAATATCTGAAATGTTAAATGCTTTAATCTGTTAAGAATCATTATTTTTACTGTTACTGTACATTCATTATTTCACATTTTTAATTCAGGGAGATCTTCTAGTTTGGCCCTCCTTTTTTAAAAAAACATTGTGATTTTATGAAAGTTTACAGAAAAGTTGGATTTTCATTCCTTCATTATTGCACATTTCCCCATCCCAACCCCACCCCTCAGTTCACTTTAAAAAAAATCATTCATTGTTGCATATACTTTGCTCTTTGATAGCCACTATTTTTCCAATAAATTTGCAAAACAAGAAAATCCTTGTTTTTGTTGTTTATATACTAAGACTTGAATGGGTTTCAGAAAAAAAATCAACTGACACATATTTAAAATAAATGTTTCCCAGACTTTGTTGTTTTAAGAAACTTTTGATGGTTTTATTATGTTTATCACTATAGATTGATGAATTGACACATATCAGTGAAAATAAAAAAAATAATACTTATAAGAAGAAGAAAGAATTGGATAAATTAACTGTTAAAATGTCAAAAATAAAACAAACTATTATTTCCACCTCAGTGGTAAGTAAAAAAGACATATGTTCTCTCAATTTTTGCTTTGTATCATCAAGATAGAATGTATTAAATAACTAGTAGCAGTTCCTGGGGAGCTCTAGTGGCCTTTGTGGTAAGAAATTGTAATGCCAACCACAAAGATACTTCCCTTGGATGGGCTTCTCCTTGAACTTCATTCGCTCTTACAAGCTGGAATGGTGACCCAAGGCTCTGGTTTGTTTGACTTGATTTTTTTCCTTTATCTAAAAATTACACGGATTGAGAATTTATGGTACATTAACACAATGGAATACTATGCAGCATGCAGGAGTGATGATTTTGCGAATTATTAACTAATTTGGGAGGGACTGGAAAGTTGAATGAACTATTTCCACAAGAATAACTATTGTATAAAACCATTATTGTAGAATGAATATAAGGATCCAAAAGGGGTGGGAGAGGTTGGAAGCAGAGGGATGAGGATATGGGGTGGGGGAGGGGGGAGTAATCATTGGGTTTTTCAGTTTGATGGGGGGGTGAGGGAAACTTGAAAGAATTTGTTCTTAAAAATAGTATATTCTGGAAGCTCTGGTGGCCTAGTGACAAGAAGCTGCTCTGCAATCCCAGAGGCACACGGTTCAAGTCCACCAGATGCTCTGCAGGAGAAGGAGGGACAGTCTCCTCCTGTACCAGTCACATCTGATTTGACGGTACACGCACAAAAAAGAATAAAAATAATAATAAAAAAACAGTATATTCAAATTTTGTAAATATCTAATAGGAAAAAAATAAATTACATTGTAGCCTGTCCTATACATTCAGCTGGCCACTGTTTCAGTCCTGAAACTTGACACAGCTCAAAAAGGGGTTTTGGTACAGGCTCCCAGTGAAGATCAACAATTAGCCCCTGTCCAAATAGGAAGGAGGAAGGGATCTGCAGATAGATGAAAAAGCTCACAGGCCTCTCTAACAGCCCTGAGTTCCATAAGAGCTCTAAAGAAGGGATCACACACTCCTGAACAAACTACAACAGAGCTTAGTCCTTAATCTCAACTACTACACACAGACTTGCTTTATACAGAAAACCTTCAATGTCATTAAAGTCATAGTGAGTTATGGCATAAGCCCTACAAACCTGTCCTAGACTAATGGTTTGTACAAAAGTGTGAACCTGGCCTACATACAGATGTGTCTTTTCATCCCAGCAAGGAAGATTAAGACAAAGGAGTTTCAGAGTGTCATGGATATTTACATGAAATAATCAGAGAAACATGGATATCTGCATCAAATATTCAGAGAAGCAAGAGCAGAACTTTGATGATGCCACCACAAAAGCAGGCTGGTGTTTAGAGGAACCATCTCTATTAATCTAAGAATAACTCAGCTACCTATGGACATGTGATCGTCAGCGTCCAGATGAGAGCAGTACCTAGTGTGCTAGCTTGGTGGGAATGATGGCTTCAGAAGACCAACCGATTCAAGCTGGGCGCTGACAGTCATATCGATTCATCCTTGTCCGTACAGATGTGCTACATGCTGGGCACCAACTGGTGGAGACAGGACTCTGGCCTGGGTCAGTGGACATAGAATCCCAAGTGCTTCGCACAAGCCCTAGCAATCTACAATAGGGCTCCAGGAGGTACCAGCGACTAACTACCTAGGCAGGGAATCCCCCTTCGTTTCCCCACTCCTACCAAGAGGTACTACTGACATCTATGGAGTGAGCAATTTGAGAAACAGACTTTATGAATAATATGGCATCAGGATTAGAGAAAGACTCAACAACCTGTATTATGCAGATGGCACAAGTTTACTTGCAGAAAGTGAAGAAGATTTATAACACTTGCTATAGAAGATCAAAGACTACAAGCTTTAATATGGTTGCCAACATCAAGGGGTTAAACATCCTTACCCCTGGACCAATAGACAACATCATGATAAATGGAACAGAAATTGAAGTTGTCAATAATTTCATTTGATTTGGATCTACAATCAACGTTTTTGGTAATAGCAGTAAAGAAATGAGAAGAGAGTGAGCGCTGAGGGAAATGGGAAGGAACTGGTGTGAAAAACAGTGTATTCAAATTTTGTAAATAAACTAGCATAATTTTTGAAAAGACATGTCACATTAAGACATGTCACATTGGGGAAATCTGTCATCAAAGACCTATCCAAAGTTTGAAAGAGCAAGGATGTCAGTTTAAAGACTACATCCAGTTTAAAGGCTGTTTAAAGGTCAGTTTAAAAGCTGCATCTGATCCAAGTCTTGATATTTTCAGTTGCTTCCTATTCATCTGAAAATTGAAGAGTGAATAAAGAAAAATCAATTGATGCCTTAAAATTCTAGTATCGACAAAGAGTATTGAATATGCCATGGACTGACCAAAGAACAAACAAATCTGTCTTGAATGAAATGTAACCAGAGTGCTCATTATAGACAGAGATGGTGAAACTCCATCTCACTCAGTTTGGGCTTATTTTCCAGAGGAACCAATCCACAGACAGTAGCGGAAATGGAAAACTATCAGCCATTTTCAATTGCACAATCATAAAACCTCCTGTTCTGGGAATGGCAAAGTGAAGAGGAATAGTGCTTCACTCAAGTTCAAAACAAATCACCATTTCCCAATTTGTCCTGAAGCAGAATGGTTTCAGTGATACATTCAAGGAATACCAATCAATACAACTATTATTAAAATCTACTCACCAAACACTAAAGCCAAAGAAGAAGAAATTGAGATTCCTGCAACTATTGCTTAATTTAATGGCGAGTACTGCCAACCCAAAGCATGAAGTTTGAGTTCACAAGCTCCTCTACAAGAAAAACGAGCAATCTTTTCCTGTGTGATTTATTACCTCTGAAAATCCATTTGAGGGTTACCTATGAGGTAGTTCCAACTCAATATTATATAACAACCACTAACTTCTTAAACTGATCAAAAAATCAATCAAGATGCATTTATAATAATTATAATGCAAAAGTTAGAACAAATAATAAAGAGTTGCTTAGGAAATACAGCCTTAATGACAGAGATGAGGCCGGAGATCCTATGTTCAAATTTTGTAAAATCAATACTTTATTCATGACAAATACCTTTTTTTTGGGGGGGGGGAACATAAACAGTGACTTCACCTGAGCCTCATCTGATGAAATACAAAGGAATCAATTTGACTACATTTGTAGAAAGACAGTGGAAAATTCTGTAACAGTAGTCAGAAAAGGCCAGGAGCTGATTGTGAAAAAGACCATGGATTGCTCATATGTAAGCTTATATTGAAGGGGAAGAGACATAAAACAAGTCCACAAGAACCAAAATATGACCTCAAGTTTTATAATTTCAAAAAGAGATTTGATGCCTTCAGTGCTGATGACTGAAGAGCAGATGAGTTGTGAGATGGCATGAAGAAAACAAGGACAATTTTAGACAGAAAAGAAAGAACTTTCCACAGGATCTCAGAAGAGACTAAAACTTGCGCTTCAACATAGAAAAGTCGAAACAAGGGAAAGAAATGATGGGATGGAAGAGGGAAAAGATTTCAAAGGGCAGCTTGAGAAGGCAAAGCAAAGTATAATAATGAAATATGCAAAGACTTGGATTTTTTTTAAATTCTAGAATTTTTTAAAAAAGTAAAAGAGAAAAACACTCTTAGCATTTCTCAAGCTGAAAAAAACTGAAAAATTAAAATCTTGAGTTTCAATGCTGAAGGATTCTATGAACAATATAGAGACTGATACAAGGAATATTAACAGAAAATGGAAAGAATACTTAGAGTCACTGTACCAAAAAAGAGTTGGTGGGCCCTGAACCATTTCAGGAAGTAACATGTGGACCAGAACCAAAGACACTGAAGGAAGAAGTCCAGGCTGTACTGAAAGCATTTTCAAAACCCCACAAATCCTCAGAAATGAAATCAAATTTAGGTGCTTCACAGACTGATGTTACCCTAAGTGGGATCTCCAGTTTATGCTAAAAATTTTGGAAGATAGGGTCCTGGACAGACAACTGAAAGCGATCCATATCTGTGCCCCCCCCTTTTTTTTAAGATCAAATAGAATTAGAAAATATCAAACAGTGCCATTGGTATCACATGCAAGTAAAATCTTATTAAGTATTATTCTAAAATATGCTCCTATGAACCTGGAGAGAGAATGAAAGGCACCCAAGCATTGAGGACTCTTCTTCATAGGGTCGCTATGAGTCGCCTGCGACTCGACGGCACTTAACAACAACAAAATATGCTGAACAGTACGTTGACAAGAAACTGCCAGAAATTAAAGGCTAGATTCAGAAGAGGAAGTGGAACAAGATGTCACATGATCTTGGCAAAACAACAGAATATTTCAGAAAGATTTTTACCTGTTTTTTATTGACTATGGAAAGGCATTTGATGGTGTGAATTATAATAAATTATGTATACCATTGAGAAGAATAGAAATCCCCAAACATTTAATTGCGCTCAGATGGAAATTGTACATGAATCAAGAAAGAGTTATTCAGACAGAACAAAGGGACACTCTGTGGTTTAAAATCACGACATGCTTCTATCAGGGTTGTATTCATCCACCATACCCATTTCATATATAGAGCAAATAAATATGATTATCCAAAATGCTTCATCGTGGGTGCAGACAATGTGGGCTGCAAGCAGATGCAGCAGATCCGCATGTCCCCCATGGGAAGGATGTGGTTCTGATGGGCAAGAACACAATCATGTGCAAGGCCATGCGGGGCCACCTGGACATCAACCTGGCCCTGGAGAAGCTGCTGTCACACATCCAGGGGAACGTGGGGTTTCTGTTCACCAAAGAGGATCTCACTGAGATCAGGGACATCCTGCTGGTCAACAAGGTGCCAGCTGCTGCCTGTGCTGGTGCCATTGCTCTGTGTGAGGTTACTATGCTGGCCCAGAACACTGGCCTGGGCCCCGAGAAGACCTCCTTCTTCCAGGCTTTGGGCATCACCACTAAGATCTCCAGAGGCACCACTGAAATCCTGAGTGATTTGCAGCTTATTAAGACTGGAAACAAGGTGGGAGCCAGTGAGGCCACCCTGCTGAACATGCTGAACATCTCCCCCTTCTCTTTTGGGCTGATCATCCAGCAGGTGTTTGACAACAGCAGCATCTACAATCCTGAAGTGCTTGACATCACAGAGGAAACTCTGCATACCTGTTTCCTGGAGGGTATCTGCAATGTTGCCAGTACCTGCCTGCAGATTGGTTACCCAGCTGTGGCTTCAATACCACGTTCCATCATCAATGGTTACAAGCAGGTCCTGGCTTTGCCTGTGAAGACTGACTACACCTTCCCACTGGCTGAAAAGGTCAAGGCCTTCCTGGCTGACCCATCTGCATTTGTGACTGCTGCCCCTGTGGCCACTGCCACTACTGCTGCTGCTCCTGCTGCTGTGGCCTCAGCTAAGGTGGAAGCAAAGGAAGAGTCGGAGGAGGATATGGGATTTGGTCTCTTTGACTAAAAACCAAAACCCCAGCAACTCAGCCAGCTTTGTGTAAAACAAGGAAATAAAGGCTTCATTCTCTTAAGAGCCTCTCTCTTAAGGTATTTAAAAAAAATACCATAGAATGAAAAACAATGTATATGACTTTTTAAGTAAACTAGTATAAATTTTTAAAAAAGAAAATAGAACTACCCCCCCCCAAAAAAAAACAAACATCAAGCGCCAAAAGAACAAACAAATCTGTCTTCATAGAGATGTACTCCTTAGAGGCAAAGATAATAAGACTTGATTTCACGTACTTGGAACATACTCTCTCAAATGGAGCCACTCCTTGGAAATGGACATCATGTAAGAAAAAGTAGAGTCATTGAAGGAGAGAGACCCTCAGTGAAATTGATTTACACAATGACTACAGCAATAGGTTTTAATAAGCCCAGCTGGGATTGTAAAGATGTCACAGGAATGGAGCAAAGTCTTTGTAGGTTTCTATGAGTCAGAATGGACTTAGCTGATGGCACCTAAAACAATAAACTGTGGGTTAATAGATTTCTTCAAGCCCTCTACTTTGGGTACCTCTGTTATAGCTGCAGTAAATAGGTTGTTTTTAGATGCCATGGAGTATGACTCCTAGCAACCCTTTGAATTTGAACACTGTCCTATCCCATGCCATCCTCACAACCTCTAACACACTCAAGCCCATTGCCGTAGTCATAATGTCAACCCACCTGGTTGAGGGTCTCCCTCTGTTTCACTGCCCCTCCACCTTCCCAAGCATTATGTCCCTCTCTAAGGAATAACCTTTCCTAGAAACATGCCCAAAGTATGTGAGATGAAGCTTTAGCATCTTTGCCTCCAAGGAGCACTCAGATTATACCCTCTGTAAGGCATTTTGTTTGTTCTTTTGGCAGTCCATAGGATCTTCAGAACTCTTCTCCAACACCATAGTTCAAAGATATCAATTCTTCTCCTGTCATCCTTACTCACTGTCAAGCTCTCAGAGCAAGTGACTGCAAAGATCATGGCCTGAATCACGCACACCTTAGTCCTCAAACTGACATATTACTTTTCAATAATTTGGAGAGGTCCGTGACTACAGACTTTCCAGTACGATAGATTTTCTTATCTTCTGACTACTGGTACCAAGTGTATTGATCAAGTAGATAAGGAGATAACTAAAATTCAAATGTAACTCTCCCTACTTTACTTTTCTAAGTTGCCTTTCATAGTTCTTTACATTTTAGAACTGGCTTTTCTATTTAGGAAAGAATAGCTATTGACATTGTGGTTGATATAGACTATACAACTTGTGTTGTATTCACTTAACTTAAAAAACAAACAAAGAAACCAGTAAACAATAGTTTAAATCCATACCCTGAGTTCTTTTCTAGTTTCCAAATTCTCACTGCCATGTTTGTTCCTCATGCTGCCCTTCCCCAAAAAATTCTGTTAAAGCTTTTATTGTGTGAAGAAACCATTATAGTGATTTATTTTTCTACGGAAAGATGCTCCCAATAAAAATAAGTGCTGCATAAATATTTAGTGGAACTGAACTGCTATCAAGAGCCTGTTGATGGTTATTGGATGTCATTTTTAAGACCATTTTTTTAAATAGGTTCTTAGCGATCACAATTTAGAGATTGAAGAAAGAAATGGAGACATAAAAGACTGGGAAATAAAGGTTAAGGATTTGGAGAAAATTCAACAGACCCTGGAGAATAAAATGTAAGAACAATATTTTTAATAAGCATTTCTAGTCTTAATATTCTATTCTAGTTTTTAAAATACTTTCTTATATAAAAATTTACCAAATTATTATATAAATATCTTTTCATTTTCAAATTTACTAAGCGCTTGGATTTTAACTGAAAGGTCAGTGGTTCAAACTCACCAGTCATTGAACAGAAAAAATATGTGGTAGTTTGCTTTCATAAAAATTATAGACTTAAGCACCTTATCATCAGTTTTACTCTGCCTCAGAAAGCTTGAGTTTTGATTTTTCAGATGACCGAGACACCTAATTAAGGATTATATATATTGCCATCTTGGGAAGAGGAGAAAGGAGTGTTTGGAATGTGTCATTTTCCCTTCAGTTCCTGATTCCTCGCCTTTGTTTGCTGGTGGGGTGAGGCATTGGTGGGAGACACCTCAACAGCACAGCGGCAGCCCATTACCATGAATTTGTAGCTGTTGTCAAGGTTTTCAATGACTTCTACCTTTCAAACTTCAGTGAACCATCATATTCCTTGTTGTTGTTGTTAGGTGCTGTTGAGTATGACAAATAGTGATGCTGTGAACGACAGATCTGAACCCTGTCCTGTCCTGTGCCATCTTCACACTTCCTGACGCACTAGAGCTCATTGTGGCAGTCACTGTGGCATTCCACCTGGTTGAGGGTCTCCCCCTCCTTTGCCAGCCTTCTGCCTCACCAAGCTTCATGTTCCTCTCCAAAGAATAGCCCCTCTTAACAACATGCTTGAAGTACGTGAGGCTAAGCTTTATCATCTTTGCCTCCAAAGAGCACTTTTGCTGCACTTTCTCTAAGATGTATTTGGGTTTTTAGCAGTCCGTGGGATGTTAAGCACTCTTCTCCGACATAAAAGCTCAAAGACATCAATTCTTCTGTCATCCTTATTATCCAGCTCTCAGATGCATAACAACACTTGCTATTTCTTAAAACTTTGTAATTCTTAATAATTCTTTCTGATCTCTCAATTTTAGCATTCTCAACCCTTGAATAAAGATATTTGATCCAATGGAATGCAGCAGTTATTGAACAATATTGTTAATATAGAATACAAGCAAAATTTTTTCAAATAATTGAAAAATGTCTGCATCCCTGCTGTATCAAGATAGAACTGCCAAAGCTTCAAGATGAATTCCAAGAGAATGTGAAAGGAGGGATACTGTTGCTGATATCAGATTGACTGAGAGCAAAGAATATTAAAAAGATGTTTGCCTGAGTTCTCTTGGCTAGGCAAAGGCATTTGACCTTTGATGCATGGTAGCAAATTATAGATAACATGGCATAGAATGAGATTCCAGAATGCTTAATTGTGCTCACACAGAACCTGTACATAGATCAAAAAGTAGTCATTTGAAAAGAATAAAAGTGTACACACCTGTTCTTCACTTACTACCTGCTTATACCACATTTTGCATTTATGATTTAAGTGGTTTCTTTTTAAAAAAGAAACAAACTGTTTAAATCATTTTTAATTAAAATAAAAATTTTAAGTGAGAGTGCCTCCCTCCTGAGCCTTATTCTTTTAACTCTCCCATTCTACCTCTGTCCTAATCTTGAATGTGAATAAAGTATTGAAAAAAATTACCCATCCTATCCACTGTGGACTAGTGGTTGCTGATCCTCTTTCCAAGTGTAGCTGAGGCTTCTAGTCATGAGTTTGCAAGAAGGCAACAGAGAAGCACAGATAGAACATGTGGTGATCATTTCACTCCATAGGGGTCCCTAGACCACCACACGTGCACTTGAGATACTGGAATTATGGGTGGTTATCCCAGATGGGTGGGTGAGAGACCAAGAAATCAGCATGGGTCGAGATATAGAGTGGGTCCTTTCTTAGCTTCAAATCCTGCCTCAGCAAACTCTATCTATGGTTTGAAAATGCACATGATTATCCTCATAGTGGTCATTGTGCAGAAACTAGCCAGTAGAAAGAGGCTAGGGGGAGGGACAGGAGAAGGACCAGCCTGACTAGATGTCTCCCAAATCACTCCTAAAGACTGAGGAGCAGTTCGAATAACATGATAACATAATAACCAGGCTTTTGGAATTTAACCATGTCTTTGGAACCTAAATATATTGGCACATGAGGACTTTAAAATTGGAAAAATATGAGGGTCAGGGCTGTGTCCTTTCACTGTATTGATTCAATATGTAGGATGAGAAATAATCTGATATTATGGAAGCTTTAAAGAACAATATGGCATCAGAACTGAGGAAGATTCATTAACAACTTATAATGTGCACACTGCACAACTTTGCTTGCTGAACAATGAAGATGACTTAAACCATCTTCTAGTGAATATCAAAGACTATAGTCTTCAGTATAGATTACATGTCATCACAAATAAAGGAAAAATCTTCATAACTGGATCAATGAGTAATATCATAATAAGCAGAGATAATATTAAAACTATATTTTGCTTGCATCGATAATTTCAACTCATAAAAGCAGCAGTCAAGAAATCAAATAACATTGCAGTAGGCAAATCTGCTGCAAAGACTACTTTAAAATCTTAAAAACAAAAATGTCACTTGGATAACTAAGGAGTATTTGACCCAAACATTTTAATAACCTTACATTGATGACAAAGTAATGAAAAAGGATGATGAAGAAGAATTGGTGCATTTGAATAATGATGTTTGCAAAGAATATTAAATATATCACAGACTTCCACAAGAATGAGCAAGTATGTCTCTAGGAAGTACTACCAGAGTTCTCCTTGGAAATTGAATGGCATCCAGGTACTTCTGCCCTTGAACCCTACTGACTGCAATACACAGAGAAGGCTTGGGATTTCTTAAGCCAAAATGGAACTGGAGTGGACACCTTGGTTTCTGAAGGACAATACATCCCTGAACTCTATGATCCATGTACTACTGCCCTTGAATCCTCCTAACTTTAACAGTCGGAGAAGGTTTGAGCCAAAAGGGGGCACCAATACACAGGTTCTTTACAGAACATCACCCTTCTCTGGGACATTATATACTTATAATAGCCTAAAATCTACCAAGAAAAGATTCACATAATGTCAAGAAAGTAGCAGGCAGCCTCATAGATCATGAAAAAAAAACATGAAAATAACCCTTCTTCTGAAACTAACTGGTGAGACTTCCTCTTGCTTATTTTCCTTATCAAGAAAGACTAATCCCTGAAGATGGACCTTGTATTTGAAAAAGTAGGACATTAGCAAAAAAGAAGATTCATTGGCATGGTGGCTGTGTAAATAAGCTCAAACCAGCAAAACATGAAGATGGTATAAAATCAGGCAGTTTCCTTCTATTATATGAATCAGTTACTAGGAATTAGAATTGACTGGGTGGCACTAACAATAATAATATTTCACTATTTTCTATTGACTAATACTCCATATGTAACTTTAGCTAGTTTCATCCTTTAAATACCGTTTGTACCCCCTAAGCTAAATGTATGTATCTAGTCCTGAGCTCTAGATGCATATACCCTACTGCTTATTTGACTTCTCCATTTAGAGAATATTTAAGAGGTATCTCAAAATTAATATATCCTAAACAGAACCCTCAATTTCCCAACTACTTGAAACATTTTTATCTAGTCTTTCCTATCCTAGCTAATGTCGCATCACCATTTTTCTAGTTACTAAAGCCAAAAACCCGAAAATCACCTGTCATCCTGTTTTTCTCGTTTCCTAATCCAACTCTTAACTCTGACCAAATCCAAAGCAAGTTATATTTTGTTTATCTTCAAAATATATCCTGAATGCAAATGTTTTACACCCCCCAATAAAACTTTACACTGAGCTGCCACTATATCTTCTGCACCAATGTCAAAGTCTTCTATGCTGCCTTCTTCTACTGTCTTTTTCCACAAAGTATCCGAAGTAATCTTTAAAAGAAGTAAAGCAGTCCATGCCACTTCTTTGCTTACAAATCATGTTAACATAGACTATGTATAATTTTCTTGCCTTTAAGACTTCACATGACTTTGTGCCTGACTACTTGTTCAGCTTCATCAAATATATCAAGCTTGAGGGTCTTATAAATTGATATTCAGTCTTCATGAGAAGCTCTTGCTCCAGATTTTCACATTCCTGACTCCTTATCATCATTCAGATGTTTATAAGTCGTTCCTGACCAGCTAGCTAAGCAGCACCTTCACTGCCATAGCTCTCTACCCTTTGTTCTGTATTATTTTCTTTGGAATGTATTATACTACTATGTGGAATCTTTTTTCCTGTTATAACTTTAATATGCTATTATTCACCCAATGGGACATAATTTCCATGACGTTAGGAACTATATCTGCATTGAATCCCTAGTTGTTGTTGTTGTTGTTCGGTGTCATCAAATGTTTAGATTGTATTTGGCAGAGATTAGGTACTCAGTAATTGACATGAATACATAAATGTAATATTCATTAATTCAAAGAATTTTTTTTATTTTGATAAATAATTCAATAAATATGTTTCTTGGAAGGGTAGAAGGACAGAGCAGGACAGGAAGACCCTGAATGAGATGGATTGAAACAGTAACTCAAGCAATGGGTTAAGGTTTGTTGGAGTCAGTGAGACTGGCTCAGGATAGGGCAGGTTTCAGAGATATTGTATGTAGTAGGGTTGTTATGAGTCGTGGGTGACTTGCTGACACATAACAACCACAACAACAACGTATTGCTTGAGGAGATCTATATTTCTGCTTCTTTTAAATACTATAATTTTGCTAGAAAATATGTCCTAATGTGAATCTGTTTGGTTCTTTTGCTACAGAAATTTTTTTTCTACTCATAAGGAAAAACTCAATGAAATATCTACTTCTCAGAAAGAGGAATTTCTGAACAAGATAAAAGAGGTATTAAGATAGAAATGATGATTTTAGACTGTTATAAAATGTTATTTTTAAATTAATATTTAAGTATAGCTGATAAATGTGAATTTTTACAAAAGTAAGTTATTGAGTTGGCCAGTAGGGGTAGTGATCATTCATAGCGATTGATTTAACTTTTATTCCCCCCTCAAAGAGCTTTAAGTATATGAAAGAACATATAAAGGATTTTTTGATAAATTTTCATGTGGCTCTGGTAGCTTTACATTAAGTATGTTCATTATTCATAGACACTTTCCATGTGAATTATTTAGAGAAATTAAGAGCGTTTCCCTTCTATGTGGCCCTGTGAAGAACAGCAATCTGCTCTGTGCTAAGTGATATTGGTACATCATGTAAATGATATTCATTTTCTAGAAAAAAATCTTTAATTATTTTTACAGCTTTAATTATTTTAAAAGGTTAAATGAAATATTTTATCATAAGTAACTAGCCATGAATTGTAAACCAAATTTTGCCACAAGATACTTAGTGAAGTACTAACTATGGCAATGGACAATGGAGGCAAAACATCATTAGAATACTAAAAGAGAACCTTGGTTAAAAAAGTTATAGTATTTGTTGTTGTTAGATGTCATCAAGTGGAATACAACTCGTAGCAAGCTATGAACAATAGATCTGAACTGTGCCCTATCCTGTACCATTCTTATGATATCCTCCATTGTTGATCCCATTGTTCTAGTCACTGATCAATCCATTTTCTTTTGATGCTTCCTGCATCATTCAAAATTTTACCCATAGAATTCTTCAATATTACAACTGGATGCTTGACTTAGTTCTTCAGTTTCTTCAGCTTGAATAGTGTATTATTTATAATATATTTCTGTTTACAATAAATTATTGAATGACAAATAATAAATTATAAAATGTTATGCACATTAGGAACACAAATACACATGAAGATTTGACATAGCTGAGATTCTTCCCTCAGACCGAAAGACACTTAGAACAAGACTGGGTAAAAGCTGCCTTCACAGAATAGAGTTTAATGGTACAGACAGGGCAAAACATTCAGAGCCCTCGTTTGCTGTTGTAGAACAATGCAAAAATTTTTAAAATCACAACCACCAACCAAACTGGCTACCAATATGCATCAGTAATCACAATGTGGAATATATGAAGTATAAATATAGGAAAATTGAAAATTTTGAAAAATGGAATAGAAGACATACAGATTGAGATCCTCAATATCAGGAGACTGAATGTCCAGTTTGACTTTGACAAGTATTTGCTGTGTTATTCTGGAGTTGGCTAACTGAAGAGGAATGATATCCCTTTTATTGTTAAAAGGAACATTTGAAGATCTATTCTGAAGTGCAACTTTATTGTTGTTGCTGTTGTTAGGTGCCATTGAGTCGAGTACAGTCATAGTGACTCTATGAACAACAGATCTGAACCCTGTCCTATCTTGTGCTAACCTCACAATCTCTGACACACTCAGCCCATTGATGCAGTCACTGTATCAGCCCATCTGGTCGAGGCTCTTCCTCTCCTTTGCTGCCCCTCCAGCTTTTCTATTGTGATGTTGTCTTTCAATCCAGTGATGAGGATTTTTGTTTTCTTGACATTTAGATGCAATTCATATTGAAGGCTGTAGTGTTTAACCTTGTCTGCAACAAGTGCTTCAAGTTCTCCTCACTTCAGGCAGCAAGATTGTGTCATCTGCATTACGAAGATTATTGAGGAATCTTCCTTTAATCCTCACGCCACATTCTTCTTCATAGAGTACAGCTAGTTGAATAATTTATTCAGCATGCAGATTAAATAGGTATAGAGAAAGAATACAACACTGACACTTTTCCTAATTTTAAACCATAGAGTGTTCACTTGCTTTGGTCTAGGTATATGTTTCACATGAGCACAGTTAAGTGTTCTGGGATTTCCATTCTTCTTAATGTTAGCCATAATTTGTTACAATTCACACAGTCAAATGCCTTTGCATAGTTGATAAAGCACAAATAAACATTCTTCTGGTATTCTTTACTTTCTGCAAAGATCCTTCTGGCATCAGCAGTGGTATCCCTGGTGCCTTGGCTTCTTCTAAGACCAGCTTGAATGTCTGGCAGTTATTTGTATATGTACTTTTCTAGCCATTTCTAAATTATATTCAGCAGTATTTTGCTTGCGTGTGATATTAATGATATTTTTCGATAATCTCCACTTTCTGTTGGATCACCTTTCATGAGAATGGGAACAAAACATGGATATCTTCCAGTTAGTCAACCAGGTAGGGTCCTCAACATTTCCTGACAAAGACTGGTGAGCACATCCAGGGCTGTATCTGTCATTTGAAACATATCAGTTTGTATCACATTCATTCCAGTGGTGGTATTATTTGCCTTCAAAGGAGAGCCTTCAGTACAGTTTGAATGTCTTCCTTCATTACTATGGGCTCTTGAGTATAGGGTACACCTTGACATATTTCAGTGTTGATCAGTTCTTTTTGTTACAGTGATTCTGTGTATTTCCTTCATCTTCTTTTGTTACTTACTTGATCATTCAAGATTTTGCCAATAGCATCTCTCAGCATTGCAACCCAAGGCTTGAATTTGTTTTTCAATTCTTTTAGCTTGAGAATTGCTAAGTGCATTCTTCCCTTTTTACTCTCCAATTCCAAGTCTCTACACATTCCGTTGTAATAGTTTTCTTTGTCTTCCTGAGCTGCCTTTTGAGATCCTCTATTAAGCTCTCTTATTTCAGGATCTCTTCCCTTTGTTTTGTCTTCTTGACAGCTAGTACAATTTTCAGGGTCTCGTCTGACATCCATTTTGTTTTTCCTTTCTCCTCTGTCTTTTTAATGTATTTCTCCCTCTTCAGTGATGATATCCTTAATATCATCCCATAAACTCATCTGGTCATCCATCGGTATTCAGTGCTTCTTATTCTTAAGATTATTTTTAAATTCAGGTGGGATAGACTCAAGATCATATTTCAGTTGTTGTGGACTTGTTTTCATTTACTTCAGCTTCAATTTGAACTTGCATGTGAGTAATTGATCATCTCTTCCATAGTCAGCCCCTGGCCTGGTTTTGACTGCTGATAGTGATCTTCTCCAATGATTTCTTCCACAGATGTAGTAAATCTGATTCCTATGCAGTCCATCATGTGAAGTCCATGTGTAAATTTGCCATTCATGGGATTTGTTGAGTTTTTGTGTGGTTTGTTTTGTCTTTTTAATAAAAGAAGATATTTGTGATGAATAAATCATTAAATGTACAAAATTTGATCCTTCTATTTATAGACTCATGTTTGTCACCACATTTGTACTTTCCAACTACTCTTCTGTCTTCATTGTTTCCAACTTTTGTATTCCAGTCACCAATTGTTAGTAATGCATCTTAACTCTGTTGGCAACTGAGGTTCAATCTCTCTGGGGAGCTCTGGCAAGACAAAATTCAACATGTCCCAGAGCTCCCCCAAAGTGTGAGAAACCAGAGGACTTCCCTCAAACTTCACTCTGGTTCAAAGCTACCAGCTGCTCCATGGGAGAAGGGTGGGCAATCTCCTCCCGTGTGATTAACTGCCTCTGAAAACCCACTGGAGGGTCAGCTATTGGTTGATCATGACTTAGTGGTACACAATAAAAAGCCAATAACAATTACACGTTTCTTTAATTTTGGATAGCAAAATTTTATAAAAATCTTTAATATCCTCCTCTTTGATTTTAGCTGTTGGTGCATATATTTGAATAATAGTCACATTAACAAATTTTACATGTATATATGGATAATAGCATATCACAATATTGTACTTCAGGATAGAACTTCATTCTCATCTCACTGATACCTAGAAAGTCAATGTTCATGTGTTCAATTTTGTTTTTCACAACCTCTAATTTCCCAACATTCATGATCTGCGCATTCTATGTTCCAACTATTAATGGATGTTTGCTGCTGTTACTCCTAATTTTCATTGACTCCCAATCTAGGCTCTACTTCTAATGCTACAACTATCTGTGTTCCTCTGTTGTTCATATGGGTTTCAGAGGCCTGCTATTTCAGAAGTGAAGCATGACCAACCCTGCTTTCTAGTCTGTCTTAAACTGGGAGCTGCTAAAACATGTACACCGTGGGTAAGCTCTCTGGCTTTTGACACACTGGTGGCACAGCTTTAGGTATCACTGCAACTCACAAGTACAACAAACTGACAGACAAGTGCTATTCTAATTAGAACAATGATACACAAGGAAGAATATAGATATCCAAACTACAAAGTAATTAGCAATATGCAGATCAATTTCCCTATAAAACTAACAGATAAGCCTGACAGTTTAGGAGGCTCCATGTCCGAGTCCCAGGTACCAGCTGTAATGGAAAGCTTCTGGTGGAAGATCCTTGTATCTGAGCTTGTGCCTGAGGACTGTTCCTATGCCTTAGTGTCTCTGCTGTTACAACAAATCAGGCATATGAGGGCCCATCAGAGGCCAGAGCAGTGAGTGAAGATGAGGTTCTAGGTGGGCGCTAGAGGCTTCCAGCTGGCACAGCAGGATAATGTCCCAGGTGAGAGCAATGTCTCAGCTGAATCCTGTGTACTGGTGCTTCACACTTGGCCCAAGGGTTAACTGAGGCAGGTTGTAAAATGCTTTCTTTGGTGGCCACTGCTTTCTGGCTCTAAGCCCATGAGCTTTGAGCAGAGTTGGCGGAGGTCAAAGCTTGTATTGAGAAGTTGAACCTGGCTTGCACAGGCAGGGTGTAAAACACTTTCTTCTGTTGCTGCCACTTGCTTGCGCTAAGCCCACAAATGTTGAGCAAGACTTGGCTTGTACAAAAGGACAGACCACAACTTTATTGATGATAGAATAATATCCATGTGCCTACACCTCAATTCAAAGACTCAAATTCATTGTTGTTAAGGAGGATCTGACTCTCAGCTGACCCTCTGGGACTTTTCAGAGCCTGTAAGTGACACAGAAATTGCCCATCTTTCTACCTTGGAGCAGCTGAGACTCAAACCACTTGCCATTGAGTTGGCGGTGCAACTCCTTACTTGCTAGGCTACTAGAGCACCCAAGCTTTAAGTGTATCTCTCTTAATTGTAGAAACAATTCAATAATAGATTTGATGCATTGAACACTAACAACCAGAGACTAGACTTGGGTTGACATCAAGGAAAGCATACACAAAGAAAGCAAAACTGATAGAAAGCTAAAAATAAAAAAAGTGAAGAGTTCAACAAAAGATTTCAAGTGGCATTTTCTCCTAGTATATTTCATATTCTCTGGAAAATTTACACCGATTTTATTCAACCTTATCGATTCATAGATCCAAATTATTATTACATTTGTTGCTGTTTGGTACCACCTAGCCTGTTATGACCCACAGCAGCCCTACAGATAATAGATGAAAAGCCTGCTCGTATCAATCCATCTTGTTGAGGGTTTTTCTTTTTCACTGGCTCTCTACTTTATCATCCGTGAAATCTCTCTCCAGGAAGTGGCCTCTCCTAGTAACATACCCGTGTATATAAAGTTTCTCCATCCTCTTTTCTAATGAGCACTCTGGTTGCACTTGAGACAGATTTATTTGTTCTTTTGAGAGTTGGTAGTATAATCATTACTATTATTGACCAACACCACAATTCATAGGCATCAATTATCCTTTAACCTTTCTTATTAATTGTCCAACTTTCATGGTATCGAAGCAAATGAAAATATACTTTGGTTGGCACACTTTAGTGTTTAAATTTATACACTTGCTCTTTAAAACTTTAAAAGGCTCCTTGATATCAGATTTCCCCAATTCAATATACCATTTGATTTCTTTATTTTCCCTATTTGATTTCTTGACTGTTGCTTCAATGTGTGTTGACTATAGATTCAGACAAAATTGAAATGCTTGATAACTTCAATATTTTCTCCATTTATCATGATGTTGTTTATTGGTCCAATTGCCAGATTTTTGTATTATGTTGAGGTATAATCTATACTGAAGTCTTTGAGCTTTCCTCGTAAATGCTTCAAGTCATCTTTGTTTTCTGCAAGCAAGATTGTCTCAGTTGCATTTTGCAGGCTGCAACTTCCTCCAATCCTGGTGGCATCTTCTTAATCTGGTACAGATTATTTCCTCAACATAAAAACTAGATAGGTATTGTGAAAGAATACAATAACTCTGACATACCTCTTTCTTTATTTTTAACCATAAAATATCCTTTTTTCCAGTTCAAATGACTGCTTCTTCATGTCAAGACAGGTTTCATATGACAGGTTTCATTAAGTGTTTTAGGTTTACAATTTTTTTCAATATTATCCATAATTTATTATAACCACACAGTTAAATGGCTTTGCATAGTCAATAAAACACAGCTAAACATCTTTCTGGTAGTCTCTACTTTTAATCAAGATCCATTTAATATCACCAGTGATGTTGATCATCTCTTCTGAATCCAGCTTGAATTGCTGGCAGGTTCCTGTCAATGTACTGCTCCAGCCTTTTTTAAATTTTCTTCAGCAAGATTGTACATGAATGTAATATTAATGATATGGTTTGGTGATTTCTACATTCTGTTGGCTCACCTTTTAAAAAAAATGAACACAAATATGGATCATTTTGCAGTTGGTTGGACAATAAGTATCTTCTATCTTTTTTGGCATAGACCAGTGAGCACGTCTAAGGACTAACAAAAGAATAAATACAGCTGTCCTGGAGTTAGAGCAACCAGAGTGGTCCTCAAAGGCAAGGATGGTGAAACTTCATCTCATATACTTTGAACATGTTGTCAGGAGGGGTCAGCCCTTGGAAATGAACAACATCTTGGGAAAGACGGAGAGTCCGAGAAAGAGAGGAAAACTCCCAACGAAATGGATTGACACAGTGACTGTCACAATGGGCTCAGGCATATCAGAGACCAGGAGGACGGTGTAGGATAGGGTGAGGCTCAGATCGGTTGTTCATAGGGTCACTATCAGCCATAGGTGACTTCATGGCACCTAACAACAACAATGAGCATATCTAAGGCTGTATCCCTTTGTTGAAACACTATATATATATATATATATATATATATATATATATATATATATATATATATTCCTGGAGCCTTACTTTTATCATTGCCTTCAGTGTTGCTTGGATTCCCCACCCCCCTTCATTATCATTGACTCATGATCATATATTATTTCCTGAAATGGTTCAGTATCAAACATCATTTTGTTGTATGTTGACTCTGTGTGTTCCTTCCATCACTGTTTTTTTACTATTTCATTTTTATTAATATTTTTATCATTTATATACATTGTGTTTCATGCCTATACATTGTGTTCCAAGGTCCTTTAACTTACATTACATGTCATTCATTCATATTGTGGGGTTTTACTCCATCCCTTATAACCATCCCACCAATAACTACTTTCATGAAACCGTGCAAGCCAACTACTTCATGCTTCATGCCCTAATATTTCCCTTTTAGATAGTCGATTGCTGATTTGCCCATTCTTATCAAACCAGTACTCTGAGGATACAAGCAGGTCCCTTTTGCTGAAGGATACTGTTCAACTTATAAACTGAACATCTGTAACCATAAGCATCATCCAGTCCAGAAAAAGCCATCAGGCTGCAGCAATCAACCCTCCTTCACAACATCGTCTTCATCTGGTTGGATTCTGGTCAACTCATCCCCAGCCATCTGTGGCTAGGTTTAAATGGGATTCAGCTGCAAGCTCAGGAGTTCACACTTCTCCCTGAATTCCACACCTTTTGGTCTCCTCACTCAGCCCTAACCCCTCCCTGGGGTCAAGTTGAGTCAGCAGGCCAGGGACACTCATGACTACCTGCTCCTCAAGCCAACAACCCTTCCATGTGCATCCACACAACTGTGCCTGCTAACTGGGCAACACTGAAGGGCCATGTCCAAGCTCAGCCTGCTTCTCTGTTGTGGTATCCCACCCACTTCCACTCCTGTGGATCCAGGTGGTGGCTATGCGTGAGCATTCTACAACCTCAAGTCTTGGAGGTGGGGTCTGATAGGTGTCAACTGTACCTCAGAAGCCAAACAGCTTGTTCCAGTTATAAAAAGACCTCCCCACTTCCCTTCTCTCCTTTCCTATTTGCCCTTTTTTCCAACGTGAATCTCTTCAATCAACAGTCCAATGTAAGTCCACAAATCCATTGAAATGCATACCTCTTCAGAGAACTAGGTGGGACTGATTCCTGCATGATTCAATATTTTGCCCATATTGTTGTTGTTGTGTGCCATTGAGTCCCTTGCGACTCATAGCAACCCTGTGTACAGTAGCTCTGAACCCTGCTCTAAGCTGAGCCAATCTTATTGTCTCTGACACACGTGTCCCCATTACCCCACTTACTGAGTCCATCCATCTCACCCAGGGCTCTTCAATATTGCAAGTTGAGGCTTGAACCTTCCCCCCATCCCCATTCTTTTAGCTTGCGAAATGCTGAGTGTGTTCTCTTTTGGTTTCCTAAGAAGTGTTTGTATACTTGATTATAATATTTTGTTGTATCTTCTTGAGTGACTCTCTGAAATCTTAATTACTTACTCTATCAGTGTTTTCTGTCTCCCTTCACTTTTATCATAACTTATAGAAATCAAAGTGTTTAATTGTGCATTTCACATAGAATTCAACATTTCTGGCATGTTTACTGTGTACTTGGTATATCCACTTGACTGACTTTCCTCAAAGGAATTATCAAGCAAGCCCTCATAATACTTTTTTTTCCCTATAGGTTGCTGAAAAACTCCACTATGCTCGTTCAGAGAATAAAGACCTACGAGAAAAACTAACTACTCTTGCTAAACAGTATAAGAACATCTTACATGAAGAGGAAGAAGTCTTTTTAAAGAGAAGGAACATGTTTAACGAGTATGTTTCTATCATCATGCTGTGGTTAGAGTGGACTTTACTTTTCAAAGTGGTAACTCTCCATTTAAGCTTACTCTGTGTAGACAATCTCTAACTGTAGAAGTTGTGCTGCTAAACTATGGAAAACTCAAGCTATAGTTTGAGTCTTGCAGCAGCAATGAAAGCGAGAGATGGACAGTCTGCTCTAGTGCAATCTACAGCCTTGAAAACCTGCTGGAGGAACAGCTTTGAGTCGGTTCCAACTCGACAGCAATGAGAAAGACAGAATAACAATGAAATAGTCTTTCCCCCACAATAAATAAACATTACTCTTGAGATACTTCTGTACCATATGACTTAATATTTTCCTGGTCTGAATCAGATTAAATCTATAAGAGACAAATACATTATTTTTGCTTCTAAATCAAACTCTTGAAAAAGTAATTATACTTTACTTTTTGTCACTTAATCATTAATTGGACCTGTTTCCTTGTCAGTTTAAGAGCAATAAAGGAAAATATGGTCAAAATAAGGAAAACTAGATTTGAAAGGTAATGAAAAATATCATTCACCAAATGCACGTCACGTTTAATATCACAGACACTATCATGTTAAGTGCTTGAACTCCTTAGGAAAGCAGATTGAAAAATCATTACATTCAACTATTGTTATGCATTGAATTTTGTCCTTCAGAAAGAGCTCTCATGGCTTAGTGGGTAAGGAATTGGGCTACCAACCCAAAAGCAAGTGGTTGCAATCCACCAACTGTGAGAGAACCAGCTGTTTCTCTGTGAGAGAAACATAGGCAATCCCCTGTGAGATTTACTGTCTCTGAAAACCCACTGTAAGGTTAGCCCTGAGTTGGTTGCAACTTGATAGAATGAGTCTTTTTAATTTTTGTCTCCTAAATGTTGTTGTTGTTGTTGTTAGGTGCATCAAGTCAAGTACAACCCATAGCGATCTCATGAACAACAGATCTGAACCTTCTAAATTAACCTCCCAAGGTGCCTAACCACAATGCCAGTGGTTATAATCCTATTTGAAAATTAGTTGCCTTGTTACATTAATTCAACAGGATTAAGATAAAGTATGCCATGAGTCCATTCTTTTGAAGTGTAATAGAGATAAAACAGCACTGTCAATCTGAAGGCACCTGTTCGAATATACCACCTGCTCCAAGTGAGAAAGATGGGTAATTCGCCTTCCTTGGGATTTACTGGCTCTGAAAACCCGCTGGAGAGTCAGGTATGGGTTAGTTCTGACTCGATGGAATATAACAACAGCAATATATCTTTAAACACTTTAAAGGGTTCTTTTACAGCACACTTGCCCTTCTACTAGAAGGAAACTAAAAAACTCAAACTGATTGCTGTTGTGTCAGAACCAATTCATAGGTGATCCTCCAGTGAGTTTTCTAGAGGCTGCAAATTGCAAGGATGGAGACTGCCACTGGTGGGTGTGAACTGATTGAGAAGTGCTGCCTTTGAGTTAGCAATGCAACACTGTGTGAGCTAAGCTACCAGAGCTTTCCTACAGGTCTAAAGGGGCTGTCTAAGAGTGGGACATAAGTTTGTGTGTACATTCTATTGGCTAATTATGACTTACCTAGTTATTATTATGGCTTTTCTAATGATTTGCAAAGAGGCACTTTCTGATAATTTTCATTTCATTTTAAAATGCTTAGCATTACTTTATACTGGTTTTTTGTTTCTGGGAAGGATTAAACCTTTATCAGAGTTTCTGGGAAAGGTTGAGTCCAAGGTCAAATACCTGTACTCGAAGTTCTGTTTCTCTTTTAATAGCAGTAAAGTTATTCTATTACTAGGGAGCCCTGAGGACTTAGTGGTAAGGATTTGCCCTAAAATTCAAAGGTACTTGGGTCCAATCCACCAGTTGCCCCACAGGAGAAAGATGGGCAATCTCCTTCCATGGGGCTTACTGCCTCTGAAAACCCATTGGAGAGTCAGCTATGAGTTGGTTCCAACTTGAAGGTTTTTAATAACAACAGCAATTTATTACTACACTGAGTTAATCCTTTTAGTCAGATAAGGTAAGAATTGTGCTGTTTTTTAGATCATCCACTGGTTAATTTTTTTTATCCAAATTCACATTACTATTAATAGGGAGAGACAGTGTGCAAACTGGATCTAATTCATTTTTCCAACAAGGGAGTAACGGAAGGGAGAAATGTGTTGGACTAGACCTACCCTCTTGGAGGAATTTAATGCTAGAATTGTTATAATTGTCATTTGATGGTTATTGCTGCAGTTGAAGTTCTTTCTGTGGTTTGGAAGGTTTTAGAAATTTTACAGAAATTCTACTTGTAAGCTTGCATTTCACTACTAACAAAAAACCAAAATAACCTACCTTCATTGACTTGTTTACTCATCTTTTTGACAAGGTGATTGAAATGGACTTTTCAAACTTTATGTTCTTATTTGTGGTTGTATATTTTCTCATGCTGATAAATTAAAAATTATTATTTCAACATTCAATACATGCTGTATTCTGTTTTTGTTTTTTTTATGGCAGATATCAAAAGCAACAGAAATTTATTGCACAGAAAGAACTTTACCTAGCACAAAGAAAACTAGACATCAAAAACATGAAAGAAGGACTCAAAACACTGGAAGAACTTCATAAGTATGTTTGTGGCCTTTGGAATGTATAATAGTTCTTCCTGGATATATATTTTAGATAAGTACCATATTGGTAACATATAGTATTTGTCTAATATAATAATATTATAGCAGTATTATCTAACAATATAATACTATATTAATAATAAGCCTAGATCTAACACAGTGTTGTTGTTGTTATGTGCCAATAACAATTCCTAGTGACCCTGTGTACAACAGCTCTGAAGCCTGCCCTGTCCTGAGCCAGTCTCACTGACTCTGACACATCTACCCCCATTGCCCTAGTTACTGTATCAACCGATATCATTGAGGGTCTTCCTCTCCTGCACTGTCCCTCCACCCTTCCACACATGATGTCCTTTTCCAAGGACTGGTCCTTCCTGGTCACATGCCCAAAGTATGTGAAATGGAGCTTCAAAATCCTAGCCTCCAAGGAAAAACTTGATTTCATCCTCTCCAAGACGGTTGCATTTGTTTTCTTGGCAGTCCATGGTATATTCAAGACTCTTCTCCAGCACCACAACTCAAAGATCATGGTCTAGCTCTCTGATGTATAGAAAGTAATTACAAAAGGCATGACCTGGATCAAGTGCACCTTAGTTACTAGACTGACATTGCTACCTCAGAACTCTGGATAGGTCTGTGACAGCAGATTTTCCCAGTATAATTCATCTTTTGATTTTCTGACTGCTGGTGCCATGAGTGTTGATTGTGGAGCCAAGCAAGCTGAAATTGTTAACAACCTCAGTCTCTTCTCCATCTATCATGGAGTCAATTGGCCCAGTGGTGAGAATCTTTGTCTACTTGATGTTGATCTTCAATCCATATTGAAGACTATAGTCTTTGACCTTCTGCAGCAAACGGTTCAGGTCCTCCTCAGTTTCAGCAAGCAAGGTATGACATCCGCATAATGTATGTTGTTGAGGAGTCTTCCTTCAATCTTGATGCCACATTTCCTTATAAGGTCAAGCCTTCTGATCATGGTGTTTCCTCTGCCAGGTAAGTATAGGTCAAGCCTTCTGAATGATCTGTTTTGCATATAGATTGAAAAGGTATAGAGACGTGGCATCCCTGACACACTCCTTTCCTGATTTTGAACCACGCAATATTACCTTGCTCTGTTCTGAGGACTGCTTCCTGGGCCAAGTATAGTACAGGAAAGCAAGTTTATAACTAGCCCTTTCTGTTTCACAATTCACAAGAGTCATTACCATTGATTCTTTCACTTGAAGGGATAGACACGTTCTGAGTTCAGTGTGGGCTGCCTGATGCAATGAATGGACAAAGGTTTGGAGGAGCTTTAAAGACAAACATATATCTGACTATTAATAAAACACTATGAATGTGCTCAATTATGCCATTCTGAACACTTTAATACTTTAACTTTTTCTAATTATAAAAATAATTTTGATTGGTTATAAAAATTGGATTGTACTCTTCTATAACTAGGTATTTTCTGTTTCAATAATGATAAAGCAATATGATGTGTGGATTTTATCTTAGAAAAATGAACAGAGATATTCAGGTTTGTCATGTATAAATTCACTTAGCTTATTATAAGGTAATTATATGAAGGCATGCAAGTAAACCCTCACAACATTCATTTAGAACAAGAGAGTGGAATTAACAAGTACAATGATTAGAGTCCAAATCACTAGACTGAAGGTATTGATCTTTAATGAGAGGTCTGGGGATGCAGGCTTGACCTCCCCTTGTATAAACAGAGGTCCCTACTAGTTTGAGTCTGGAATCAGTAGTGGTGGGTAGAATCTCAGCAGGTTCTTGGTCTTCTGAGAAAGTAAGCAATGAGAATGATCTCTTTCCTTCTTCCTTCTTGCTTCTTTCTCAGTGATGGAGCAATAATTCAGAGTTTAAGTGTGAAATTCTCACCTTAAACAATTAAGATCAATATGATATCAAAGATAAGTATAATATATTTTTCCTTTAGGTCTCTAACATTTGGTTGAAAACCCCATTTCCCCCCCTCAAAGTTAGAGATTAAAAAAGTTGTTTAAACTTATATCTGAAGGCTCAGGAGCTCTGACAACATGGTCCATGGGAAGCTCTGCTGCTAGCCCATCCATCAGCAGTTCTGAGGGATATAGACAATTCCTTCCTGTGCAACTTACGTTGTTGTTGTGTGTGCCATCAAGTTGGAACTGACCTATATAGCTGCCCCTCTAGTGGGCTTTCAAAGGCGGTTAATCACAAGGGAGGAAATTGTCCGTTTTCTGCAGAGCAGAAACTCTCTACCTTGCCACTAAATCACCTTTCTTGGAAATAGGAACAAATATGGACCTCTTCCAATCTGTTGGCCAGACAGCTGTCCTCCAAATTTCCTGTCATATACTACTGAGCGCATCAAAGGCTGCATCTGTTAATTGAAACAAGTCAATTGGTGTCACATAGATTTCTGGGGCCTACCTTTTTGCCAGTCCTTCAATGTAGCTTCTGCTTCCTCCTTCATTACCACTGGTTCCTGTTCATATGGTTGTGTTGTTGTTGATTGCCTTCGAGTCGAACACAACTCATAGTGACCCTATGAACAAAAGGCCCAAAGCCCCTCTACAACTTCTGACATTTACGAAAGTTCATAGTTTCCAGAGGCATGTTGATTAGGAAAGGGAGGCCACTCCTGCTTCCAAGTTCATATGGTACTTGCTGAAATTTTTTCAATGTCAATTCTTTCTGGTACAGTGACTCTGTATATTCCCTCCATCTTTTTTTTATGTTTTCTGGGTCATTCAATATATTGTGCATAACATCTTTCAACATTATGACTTGAGGCTTAAATTTGTTTTTCAGCTCTTTCAGCTTGAGAAATGTAGAATGAGTTCTTCCCATTTTATTCTCCAATTCCAGTTCTCTGCACATTCCATTATAATGCTTTGCTTTGTCCTCCCAAGCTTCCCTTTGAAATCTTCTGTTGATCTCTTTCACTTTGACATGTTTTCCTTTTGTTTTGGCTTCTTGACACGCTAATGCAATCTTTAAAGTCTCTTCTGACATCCACTGTTGGCAGTCACTGTGTCAGTACCCCTGAATGAGGGGCTTCCTCCCCTTCGCTGTCCCTACACCTTTCCACCCATGATGGCCCTTTCCGAGTATTATCCTCTCTTAGCTACATGCCCAAAGAATGCAAGACAAAAAGCTTCACTCTCCTTGCTTCCAAGGCACACTCTGGCTTAACCGTCTCCAAGACACATCTCTTTGTTCTTTCGGCTGTCCATGGGATATTCATACTCTCCTGACATCATAGTTCAATTCTTCTTCTGTCACCCCTAATAATCATTGTCCAACTCTCAGATACATAACACATAATTGAAAAGACCATGATGTAACTCAGTCCTCATGCTAACATTATTGCTCCTCAGTACTTTGGAAAGGTCTCTGACTGTAGAATTTCCCATTGCAATACGTCTCCTGATCTCCTGATTACAAGTACCAAGTGTGCTGACTGTAAATTCAAGTAAGATGAAGTCATTGACAGTTTCAGTCTTTTCTCTACATATCATATCATCACCTATTGGTCCATGTTTGTTTTCTTGATGTTGAGATGCAATCCATATTGAAGGCAGCAGTGTTTGGTCTTTTGCATCAAATGCTTCAAGTCCTCCTAACTTCCAGCAAGCATGATCATATCATCTGCAAAATGTAAGTTATGGATGAGTCTTCCTCCAATCCTGATGTTGCATTCTTCATCGCAGAGTCAAGCTTCTTAAACAATTTGCTCAGCATACTGATTAAATAGGTATGGAAAAAGGATACAACCCCGGCACACATTTTTCATCATTTTAAACCATGCAGGGTTACCTTGCTCTCTGTTCATACAATAGCCTCTTGGTCTAGATGTAGGGTTTGCATCAGCACAAATCAGTGTTCTAGGATTCCCATTCTTCTCAGTGTTAACTATAATTTGTTGTGATTCACATAGTCAAATGCCTTTTCATAGTCAATAAAGCAAACGTAGACATTGCTCTAGTATTTTCTGCTCTCAACCAGAGTCCATCTGACATCAGCAATGATATCCCTGGTGACATGACCTCTTCTGAATCCAGTATGAACTTCTGGCAAATCCCTATCTATGCATTGCTCTAGATGTCTTTGAGTGATCTTTAGCAATAATGACTTGCATGTGTTATTAATGATATTGTTCTATAATTTCCATATTCTGTTGGATCTCTTTTCTTGAGAATGAGAATAACCAGGCAGCTCTCCTCCAAATTTCCTGGCATAGACTGGTCAGCGCATCCAGGGCTACACCTGTCCCTTGAAACATGTCAATTGGTATCACATAGATTTGTGGGGCCTTAATTTTTTTCAGTTCCTTCTGTATAGTTTTAACTTCTTTTTTCCTTACCATTGGCTCTTGATCATATGGTATTTCCTAAAATATTTCAATGTCAGCCACTTATTTTTCATACAGTTATTCTGTGTGTTTCCTCCACATTCTTTTGGTACTTCCTGGATCATTCAAGATTTTGCCTATGTCATCTTTCAGTATTGCAAATGGAAGCTTGAATTTGTATTTAAATTCTTGAGAAATACCAAATTGGTTTAAATCTTCTGTGAAAGATTTTAGTAAGTATGCAAATATGTATTTTTTAAAAAATATATAAATAAGATGAATCTGTGAGGTTGGGTCAGATTGTGAGGAAACTTAGAAACACAATATTAAGTTGACTATGGCAGGGAGCTGAGAGCACATAAATTATTCAAACAGAGAAAGAAGATATAAGCACAGCTTTCTTTCTAGTGTATGTAATAGTGATTCATATTGAAAGTTCCATCCTTGAAAAATTTTCTCTTTGAAAAAATATAATTTAAGCATTATTTTACTTATATGACCCTTAATTTATATCTGTGATTAAAGTATGTAATAGGAAAAAAGGCAATATAAAATGGTCTCTAATAAAATCTCTACAATTCCATGCATTCTACTTTTTTCAAAAAAATCCTTACTACTCTCCACTAGCTCAAGAATGTATATTGACTTTTTAAATGATTATATCAAATTAGAATTCAATCTAAAATCCAAAGTTTCTCAGCAATTTACTGACTGTAATCCGGTCAGTACAGTTCACGTCCTCTTCATGAAACAAGTTGACCCTGAGTTACACCACAGCCATGACTTTCTTCTCTCTGTGTGTTAACAAATGATTGTGTCTTTCCTTTGTAAGACTGTTTTTTAATTCTTCCAGTCCAGCTTCGTCCCTTCTGTAGAACATTCCCTTATGGTAATGCTTCTGCAATTGTCTCCCTAGAATCTGCTCTTCTCCAGCCTTGGAAAGGTACTCGAATGTTTGCAGAATCAGTTTGCACATGCATGAAATTTTAACTATTTTACTGTTAATTTGAAATACCTAGTTGTTGTATTATGCAATTTAAGTATTATTTTATGTACATGACACTTATTTCTGTTATTGAAGTATTAGAGAAAAAGGAAATAAATGAAGATGACTAACAATATGTATCTATTTCCACATATTTTACATCAAGATAATCCTTGTAAGCATAATTTTTGCTTCCAATTAATTAGACTGTAGCCTCAAGAATAAAAATGATACTGAGTCTTTTATTTATTCTAATAGCTGCTTCAAATGTAAAATCTTAATGCATTTTTATTGTTTTTAGAGAAAAACAGGAAATATATAGGAAACAAATAGAAATCATGGGTGATAATAGAGAAAGAGAAAAGCAGAGAAGGTAATGTATTTATGTATATACATGTTATGTATATTTATTTTTATTTATATTTATTTTATGACAAATAGATTGTTGTTACGTGCCATTGGGTGACTTGTGACTCATAGCAATCCTATGTACAATAGCTCTGAACCCTACTCTATCCTGAGCCAACCTTATTGTCTCTGATACAACTACCACCATTACCCAAGTCACTGAGTCAGTCCACCTCATCGAGGGTTTTCCTCTAATGCATTGTCCCTCCACTATTCCAAGCATGATGTCCCTCTCCATGGACTGGTCACTCCTTGTAATATACCCAAATATGTTAGAGGAAGCTTCAACATCCTTGCCTTTAAAAAGGAGCAGTCTGGTTTTACGCTCTCCAGGCTGAATCTGTTCACCTAGCAGTCCATAGTATATTTGATACTCTTCCCCTCAACTTTGTGGGGCATGGGGAAATAGCGTTAGTTACTAGAACCTAAGGAATTTATTTTTCTAAATTAAATTGTGTGAATTCTATGGGATTCAGATATATTTATTAATTTTATGTTTTTGCATTGAACCAAACCAGTTTTCAACTTCAACAGCAAAGTAATCAGAGTAAAATTAACATTAGGAGATGTTTTCTGCTCACCAAGGCTTCTTTTTTTAATTATTTTATTTTTTTTATTAATTTAGTTTGTTTATTTTTCATTTCAATGAACATCTACAGAGATTTTGGAATTCCATTCATTCATTGTTGCACCCTTCTCCCCGCACAAACACCCCC